GACCCTCATTTTACTCAATACTCAGACATTTTGAATTATTAGAAGTCTTTAGACACATACTCCAAAATATGTGTGTGCCTTAACATGTTTTTATTAGGGTTATAAAGGAATTGAATCTAATCGAATGTTTGACATTATTATTCGTAATTAGAGATTACCAAATATTTGTATTCATATTTGTTTAACAATCGAGTATTCTTTAATACTCATCTACGCTTCATTTTTATATTTGAATACATTCGAGTATTACATGTGTTTAACTACTAATGTAATTACTCAATTCATATTTGAGTAGTATACGGTTCGTGAGTAATATTGTAGTACACGTAAAGTATATTGATATTTAATGTACATGTTTGATTCAAATAAAAAGTGCTTCGTAGGTGAAAAATAATAGACCTGTATTCAAACATTTGAATCCGAAAGAATTAAATGTCAAAATTTTCAAACTAATTAAAATTATAGTGTTTAATTTTTGTCTCTTGCTCCATTTCCATAGTACATATTTCATACAAACCAATAGATAATTATTGCCTCAACATAAGCTACCTTGAAATTTGACTAAGCTCAAATATTCAAAAACAATATGCAAAATATCTACGGTTTTTAGTTCATTAATATTATGTTGCCGATATTTTTACACTTTACTATACTCCAAAGTTATTTATAAGGAGTACTATATATTATATAAATATGTATGTGTGTGAATATATTCCTTTATAATTCGAATATTTTTATACAAGTTTAGTGAAAAAGCTAAATGAAAAGACCGATAAATTGAAAAAGTTTAGTTTCATTTCCGCCTTATTCTCTGTCTTCATTGATTTTTAACTTTGGTGTAAAAAACCCTGAGGCAGCCGTGTGCAGCTCATCTGAGGATTAGGTTTGGTGTCGCGAAGCTTTCTTCGTCGGCGATATAGAGTTTTCACGGATTTATTTCTCTCAGATTCAACGGGTAGGCATAAAATGAAAGGTGAGAAGATGAATATGGTGTAGACCCTGGCCGGGGGTCTTGTTTCAGCCGTGAGAGGTCGTGGTGCCATGACTAGGATGACAGTAAGTAGTGTGACTCAATAAGCACGTACAAGGGCCAATGAGGGTTGGGGAGCCACGGGTTTGGTGAAGGTCAAAGTTCGGCCGGCGATGGTCCGACCTCCTCCTAAACCACCGTCATGGGTGGAACGAGATGCTAGGTTTGGTGGGATGATTGGAAAGGTCGTCAGAAGTATACAGATCTATAGGACAAATGATAGTTGTGTCAAGATTGTTGCGTGATTAGCGATTCGTGTTGCTCTTTCAGAGATGACCGTTTCTATATCTAATCTAAGGGTTTACAATCGTTGTTGGTTGAGGTTAGTTGGTAATGATTTTGATGTATGATACATTTTGACAAAAACAAATATAGGCCATTTACTTTCCCAAAAAATGGAAAAATATATGATTTTGCTTTTATTGATGTAACGATTGTGAAACGAATGATATGAATATAGGCTATTTCCTTTCCCAAAAAAACTTTGGTGTATATTAGTTTCTTGTTTCAACAAAAATGGCATTCTAGTAGAAGAAAAAACTTCTGACTACACTTTTCTACCAATAAATATGGCAATAGTATAATAATCAAAATGACTTTTTCATTGTCAACAGAATATTATTGAGAATATTAGCCGAAATAGGATTAAAAGGGTTTGAATTATTGTGATGTTTTGACAATATCAGACTTCAAACATGACAGTATTTTCCAAATTTGGCAGTAATTTCTTCTACATTGAAAATAAAACACATGTCGATCCTATTTTGGAAATTTAATTTCAAACTTTTTAGACCTATTTCGGGGACTTTCCAAATAATATTATTACTTGATGATGAGAATTTGAATTGATGACATTATTAACCAGGTTGAAAACAATTATAAATTGTGTCTCCTTTTTATAAAAGGGCATTTAGTACATTCACTCATCATGTATTAGTTAAAGGGAAAGGGGGCAAATAAGCCCTCGAACTAATCAAAAAAGTGCAAACAAGCCATTATATAAGAGACTCTGTCCGGTCGTCATCATTTGGGGATGTTTTTGATGGAATTTTTTGAGCATCTTGTCCATTAGGTCTTGTTTAGTCATACTAAATTTCAGCTAATAATTCAACCATGAAGGTAGTCAAATGATTTTCTGAAACATACTGCATTGTTTAACTACGCAGTTATCTTCACAAATTCATTTGATTGCGTTCCCGATTGAATTTTTAGCTAAAATTTGGTATGCTAAACTAGACTTAATGAAGAATATACTCAAAAACTTTTATCAAAAAATTCCACCGGGAATCTTCCCAAATGGCGATGTACGGACAAAATCTCCTATATAAAGACTTATTTGCACTTTTTGGTTAGTTCGAGGGCTTATTGACCCCTTTTTCCTTATTTAAATTGTCATTTTTCTCAACTAAACATAGAATGGATTTGTCCATAAACAATACAAAAATAAGTGCTATGAACAAATATAGGATCACTTTTAAAAAATTGCAAAAATGAGACTAAACTCTTACTAATGACAATGACCAATATGAGCAGTGACTATCCTGACTAGTGACTATGACCAACTCATCTAGTTACCATGACCAACCTGACCAGTGACCAACTCAACCAGCGATAGTGACCAATATGACCAATGACCAACCAGCGATCGTGACCAACCCGACCATGACAACCACGTCCATTGACCAACCCGGCAGCGACCGGCCATTGCTCATGCCCTGGCCAAAACCGCCACGTGCCCCAACCACTGTCGCGCATGCTCTGAAAACTGTCAGATCTGCCCTACGGACCACAACCCACCAGCACCCCCCAAGACCTTGTCCCGACCTCCTCCCCTTCCCCAGGAAACCAGGCCCACCACCACCGCCCACCATTATCCCTCCCCTAATCCAGGAGGCCAGACCTACTAACTTAACCACTACCTAACGCAAATCTTAAACTGTTGTCACCGTCGTAAACGAAATCCTAGACACTGCAGACTTGATGACATAGAAGGTTGGGATTTAGGGGTGGACCTAGGGATGGACCCGGGCCGGTCCGGTTCCGGTTCCGGTTCCGGGCCGGGCCCGGGCGGGCTTTTTTTCGGGTTACATGGGCCCGGAACCGGCCCGGGTTGATACCGGGTCCGGGCCTAACCGGGCCGGGCCCGGTTCAATGTTTTTTTTTTTTTTTACTTTCTTGTTATCTCCCTACCCCCCCCCCCTCACCCCCACACCCCAAACCTCCCTAAAACACCCAACCCTACCCTAGTAAAAGAAAAAAAATTGAAAAAAAAAAAAAAAAAAAAGTGAACCGGGCCCGGCCCGAACCGCCCGGGCCGGTTCAACAAAAATAGGGCCCGGAACCGGCCCGCCCGACCCGCCAACACGGGCTAAAAGCCCGGAACCGGCCAACCGGTCCCGTTCCGGTCCGGGCCCGCACAGTAGCGGGCCTGTCCGGTTCCGGGCCGGTTCAGCCCGGCCCAGTCCATCCCTAGGTGGACCAGGTCTGGGTCAGGTCTTGGGCATATTGGGCGATAGGCCCAATACAGGCCTGGGTTGGTTCCGAGACCAATCAGGACCCGAGTCAGGTCGGGTCATGTTTATTTTCTTATTTCTTTTATTGTTTTCCTTATTTGTTCCTACCCACCCCCAATCCAAGAAGGCTTAAGCCCATGACCCCCCCAACCCCCCCCCCCAACCCCCCCCCAACCCCCATCAATCGGTCCACCCTTAGGGAGTGTTTGCGACTGCTTCTGCTTTAAAAAAAGTACTTTTGGAAATGTAAGGAAAAAGTGATTAGTAGTAAAAGTTGATAGTGTTTGAGAAAAAAGTGATTTTGAAAAATAAAAGTTGATAGTGTTTGGTAAAATAAGTGTTTTTTGTATAATAGAAAAGCGAAAAACACTTTTCACACACAAGCTGAGAAAAAGTAAAAATTGGTAGTGTTTGAAAAATAAGTGCTTTTTAAAGCCCTAAGAAGTGCTTTTTTTAAGCTGTTGCAAACACTCCCTTAGGCTGGGTAGCGACGGAGGCGGTGCAACGACCAAGTAGGCGAGGCAGCATCTGAAGTGGTCCATTGATATCCATATGGGTGGCGCTCGAGCAAAAATAGGGGAAGAGAAAGATTGTTCTCCACTCACCATGGCTGCTCTCCACTCGCAATCCAGCGTGTTGCGTGCAATAGGTGCTCAATTGAGAAAATGAAGAAGGGAATTGGAGACGGATGGGAGAAGAATGGGCCATAGATAAGTCCTATTTTTGTCCATACGGAGTATTAAAATAGGTCCTACTTTTGTCCAGTAGAAGTCCCGTCTTATTTTAGTCATTATTTCAACATAGAAAACTGCACGTTGATGACTCGCTGCAAAAAGGCCAAAAGGACATGGGTCATACTGTCATCTACTCCTCTTCATTATTTCCTGGATGGACCATACTTCATTGGTTTGGGGTAAATATATGATATGCGAAATACTGATGCTGTGTGGCCTCACAATTTTGTCTAGTTCGCTAAAAAAAGTTGACTGCCTAGGAAATGGGATAGATCTATTCGCCACAAAATGCAGTTTCGTATAAATGTTGAACCACACCGCATCAGTAGTGCTGCAGCCTTTGAAAAACATCCTCAATATATGGCGGCTACAATGCAAACAGAGGGCTACAATGCAAAAGAGGCTTTGTTTGCAACCACTTGTTCTTAAATAAAAGTACTTTTTGGGAAAAAGTGATTAGTAGTAAAAGTTGGTAGTATTTGGTAAAATAAGTGTTTTTTGTGTAATAGAAAAAGTAAAAAGTAGATTCTACACGAAAACCGAGATAGTAAAAGTTGGTATTGTTTGGTAAAATAATTGTTTTTTCTATTAAAAAAAAAGACAAGCACTTATCAACAGAGATTGCAAACAGAGCCAGAATCTGCCTTACATCAGCCCCAATAACAAATGTGCAAACCTTTAAAGGAAACCAATGATAAGCACTGAACAAGGTTATACATGCAAAAAAGAGCAAATCTGTTGGATGTATTTTGAAATGCGAGCATAGATAAGTACATTTAAGTACCATCCAATGCTGCAATGAGCTGGTTCACGGAATATTCATTTCATAAGCAGTACATTCCTTTGAGTTTCATCTCCTACAAAGTTCAAACGACCAAGTTTGATGCTTAATTAAATTATAATAAACGAAAAAGGTGTCTGCAAAAAGCTCAGATAAGAGAGGATAGAGTTTTCAAGATTAAGCGGACGACTAGATCACTGAGCAGTTTAATTCCACCTTCAGGAGAATGGCCAATATTGCTTGGCATGTAGAACAGACTTTCTTTTTACATAAATAATCATGACACATACCGTGTTAACCCCCAAACGCATCCCTATCAATGACATAATTAAAAATCAGCAAGGCCACATAAAATACATAGTGCAAATATCTTTTTTATCATCCCTGATCAAAATCAAGTACAGCAAGTACCTTGTAAGCCAGACGATTTGTGCCAAGGCACAGTTGTCACCAAAGGACAGACAACATTTCATATCTCCAGGCTTTCAACCACCAATATATCTTATAAACACATACGTAATTGTATGAGGTACATAACGGTATGTATCACTGGAAATGGTCCACTCTTTCAGATAGCTGGCTCACTATAAGTGAAGAAGCCCCATCTTGCAGTTGAGTTGCTTTTTTCATCACTAATTAGCGATAATCGATACCATTTTCTTTGAATTGGAAATATCCTGGAACCCAATTGTGCCTCTTAAGTCCTTGTATTGATATAATAATTGACATTAAAATGGAATCAGTCAAAACCAAGAAGCGGGCAAAGAAGGTCATTCAGCTCCATATAATCTCCTTCCAGAAGGCCTAATATTTCCTCAGAAGACACTGCTTCAGAGAGTGTAGCGCCAGCATTAAAATGACCAGTTGATACCGTCTGTGGAAAAACAACAGGTAAGAATTCCAGGAATGAACTTTAAGGGTGCGGTGGAAATCCAAAAGTATTGGGAAAGAAAGAATTGGGAAAATAAAAGATTGGTCCAAAAACAGTTTTTTCCATTTTTATAACTAATTTATTTCTATTATATGATACTAAGAAATCTAAACATATGTAAAAACTTAAAATCATAAATCATATTCGTATTTCATTTGGCTTTGCATTTTTTGTTGTTAAACCAAGTGCAATTGAATAGTTCTGTAGAGCAATTTTTTCCTTTCCTTGGCATTTTCTGATATCAAAACAGACCCTAAAAACTAGAACTCTGATGAACAGCAGAACAGATGGTATGTTATCATGCATTACCCAGTCCTCATGAGGTTCACTAATAGGATTCTCTAATTTGCTGACACTTTCCACTGGGAAATTCAAAATGTCTTTTTTCTCATCCTGCACTTCTTCTTCAGTAGCAGATTTTGTGACTCCATTAAACTGAATACCAATGTGACGAACTCTTGCAACACTTTCTTCAGCACATGAACTTAACACATTTTCTGACTCAATATTTCCACGAGGTGATTTAACGAAAATTCGGCACAAGACAAAAGCAGCCTGCAAATTAACAAAATCATGTACAATCCTAATTAGATTATACTCAAACAGAAGATTGTACTAGCTATAGAAAAAGGTAATGATGAATCATAGATATAAATGTGAAACCCCAATGAACATAGTGTGAGATTGCAAACTAAAATATGGCCTTGTGATACTCAAGGTTTGGGCCAGAATCAAAAGAACACAGCAAGTTATTCATATCGTTGCAAATCACATGCTAAAAAGTCAACATTTTTAACGCAAAGATCATAGAGATACAAACTCTCAATGTTGATTCAAAATCCTGAATGAATCACCTCAATATCCATAGCATTACCCAATGTATAAATAAAGCTAGGAGTTGCCGCCCATCATCATCATAATAATAATCCTCATCATCACGGACATAGACAAATTTGAATGTGTTTGTCCGTGTTTAAGTGAATAACAGACAGAGTCTATTATCAGCAATCGATTTAGTAATACAATAATGGATGTGATTATATAAAAGGAAATCAGCGTAATATACCGCATTGGGCAGTGCGTACTCATACATAAACCAGTCAGTCCTCATAGCAGTCTTAGGAGATTCCCCCAAATAGAAAGCGAAACATTTACGCAATCCAACCACAACTTTCCCAGCACCTTTCTCGGAGACAACCCTAATCCTCCCTTTCCTTCTCCAATACCCGCCTCCTGCCCTCCTGGATCTCCTATCCTTTAATTTCCTAGCGACGAAGCAAAACCAGTGCCGTCGCCTCCCACCGCGGCCGAACCGATAGCAGGAAGCGTCCGGTAAATTGAAAGGGTCAAAATTGTACAGGTTGATCTCCTTGATTACGTTAATGCCATCGCGATGATCGCCGCCGTTCTTCTCCGGGAGGTAGTAGCAGAGGATTTGTTCCTCGGAAGGGTAGAACCTGCAGCCTGGTGGTAGTGTGAACGATGTCGCGTCTTTAGCTGTGCATCCCATTTCAGAAACAATGAGAACGGCTGGGGTTTTCTGAGTACACTGGCGGGGTTATATAGAGGAACCCGGCATAGAGAAGCTTAGTCTTGACGCTTCCCCAGAGCTTTTATTTTGTCATTCTCAAGTCACTCGGTTTTATTTAACTTTGGTCAATTTGTTTAAATATTAGTGCATCCGTCTCACTAACTTTGGAAGTAACCGGCATGGGATTAATAAATTAAAAATTGTATGGTTGGGGTTTTGCAGAGAATTAGCTGAAAGCACAAATTCTTTACTTAAAAAAGAAACCGCCAAAGTTAGTGGGACATCCAAAAAAAGAAAGTTGACAAAGTTTTAAGAGACAGAGAGAGTAGTTATTAAGAAAAATGATTTTATGTGACTAATATAGATTTTTTTGGAAGATGATTGATATAGAATTAATAAATAAAAATAAAGAAAAAATGATTTAGAATCATACAAACTTTACTAAATTTGGTATAAGACAGTCTTAGTAAGATATTCCGAAGAAAAAATGATACAATCTTAGCGGCACGGAGGGAATATATGGGGACAAATGATCTGGTCAGGTGTACCTCGTCGGAAGTCCTCTATGGTCAAACCCGTTTAAGTCCTCTCTGGGTGGATTTTTTATGACAACTTCTAAGATTATATCCATAAGAACATGTTTTTCATGATGTTTAGGTTATATTCATAAAATTTCAATTTAAAACTCAATAAGTAAGTTAACTAAATAAATCATCAAAAAATATTGTGCTTTCTTAAGTTGAAATTATGTGAATATAATATACACTTCATGTTAAGCCCGAACCAGGGCATTAAATAGGTGGGCTACGAGCCTTATAAATGGTGAACCAGGTGGGCCCAATATTTGTTTTTTAAATTTTTCTCTATGGGCCGGCCTCTTGGTGGGTGGGGTTAGGCGGTTTGGGGGGGTTGTGGTTGGAGGGCGGGAGGTTGGAAAAGACCAAAAAAAACTAAAAAAAAATGATGCCCGACCCTGCCCGGTCCGGCCCGTTCCCGGACCAGTGTCGGGCCTGAATATTCAGGACCCGAAGCATGCCCCAGCCGGACCCCGGTCTGGTCTACCCCTAACTTAATGAAGAACATGCGCAAAAAATTTCATCAAATGATTCTAAAAAGAAGCACCTCAAACGGGTTAAGCCCGAACCAGGGCATTAAATAGGCGGGCTACGGGCCTTATAAATGGTGAACCAGCCAGGCCCAATAATTGTTTTTTTAATTTTTCTCTATGGGTCGGCCTCTTGGTGGGTGGGGTTAGGCGGTTTGGGGGGGTTGTGGTTGGAGGGTGGGGGGTTGGAAAAGACCAAAAAACTAAAAAAAAAATGATGTTAGGCTCTGTGCGGTCCGGCCCGTTCCCGGACCAGTACCGGACCTGAATATTCAGGACCCGAAGCATGCCCCAGCCCGACCCCAGTCTAGTCCACCCCTAACTTAATGAAGAACACGGCACAAAATTTCATCAAATGATTCTAATCGGAAGCACCTCAAACGGGTTTTGTCGTACAAGACTTCCTGTTAGGCACGTCTGACCAGGTCACTTCCCTGTATATGTATTTTAGAATAATATATGAAGCTCATCCATGTGCTAACTAGTGGCATATCCAGAAAAATAGGTCAGTGGGTGTGAATTTACATTTGATTAAGAAATATACATTAGAAAAAACAAACTAATCAGATTAAGAAAAAATTGTAAAATCAATTATAAATAACAAAGGAAAAACATTATGATATGATATTTAATTAAATTCCACTTTGTACACGGTTGATCCTTCTCTAAGTTTTCAAAATTTTAAAAAGTATACTTGCAATTTTCAAAAGTATATTAAAAAATTAGTTTATATTACGTATAAACTCAAAGTCAGCTCATATGTGAAACTAAAATAACTATAGGTAGTTTAGATCTATTCAACAAGGAAAAAATTAAAAATAATAATGTAAAACCACTTAAATTTTGTTTTAGGCTCCAAGGACAAAAGCAAAAAATTAAAAAAATAAATAAGAAGCAAGGTGTCGAATCTCTGATCATTTAACGAAGCACTACCCTAGTAGGTAGGTATACAGTTTCACTTATGTCCGCTCGGCCATTGAGAAATGTAGTTAAGTTTGTCATACTTATTTTATAAGATCCTTTATTTAAGACAAAAAATATATATATTTTTTTTAATTGGATATATATATACGTATTGGGTGGGGGTTGAGTGGGGGCAGCTGCCCCCTGCACCCACCCTGAATACGCCCCTGACTGCTAACTATGGAACACGTTTAGTAAGTAAGAATGTCAGCGTGATCAATATTTATAGAGAAAACTGTCAAATAAGTCCATGTACTTTCCATAAAAAGTCAATTGAATTCATGTACTTTTAAATTGATCAATTAAGTCCGTGAAATATGAAAAACTAACCAAATCAGCCTTTTTGTGGGTAATCAACCGGTTAGCCGGTTGACTGGCCTACGTGTCTATCTAGTTGGCTTTTATTTACTAGTTTCCATTTATTAATATTATTTTTCGTTTTCTTTTCCATTTTCTTTTATTTTTTTCTCTTTCCCTTCTTTGTGTCTAGTGTCTACCACTCCACGACCAGCTTGCTTCTCCCATTCTTTGTCAACTCCAAATCTTCTCCTTCAATCTTCTCCCTAGAAGATGAAGATCTGCCCATCTATTGAAGCTTGGCCGGCGGAGCTAGTGACTGACAGACTGAGGCCGAGTAAGGGACATTGGAGCCTGTAACTATTGAGGAATTTGAGGCAGGGGTGACGGGACGGAGGCCAGGACGATTGGAGGTCGGTCCAATAGATGTGGCGGCGAAGATCGATGAAGGTCGAGGTGATTGGAGGTCATTCCCAAGGTTTTAAATAGCCGTAGCGGCAGCGGTAGTGGTAGCGGTAGCGGTCATCGCGGTAGCGGCATGTAGCCGACTGTAGCGGTTGCAGCGGCGTGAAATATTTTCAATTGCGCAAAACATAAATGTATTTTTTTTCACATCATTCACACAACATTTAATTTTGAGTTTCACTCCATGTATCACCATTATGTATTTTTTCACATCATTCACACAACATTTACACATTTACACATCAAACGGTTCGTGATGTATTGCCGGAAATCTCAATAGCGGGCTGTAGCGGGCTGTAGCGAGCGGCGTAGCGGATTTTTCCTGTGATTTGGAAATCACACACGAATAGCGGGCCGTAGCGGTAGCGGCCCCTACCGCGACCGCTATATAGCGGCCGCTATAGCGGTAGCGGGCCGCTATTTCAAACCATGGTCATTCCAATCGAAGAGGCGGAGATAGATGACACAGAGGTGGTGGTCAAAGGTATTTGTATGGAGGTTGGGGCGGAGGAGGTGAAGGCCGCATACGGAGGTGGGTGGCTATGGATTTGGGGACGGTTGGAGGTCGCCCTAATGGATGCGTAGGAGGTGGAGGCCGCACAAAGAGAGGGTGGTTATGGAGGTCAGGGAACCGCTCCAATGGAGGAGGAGGTGGCCGGAGATTGTTCTAATGGGAGGAGGAGGAGGCAAAAATAGAGGATTGAAAGAATTAGACAAAGAAGAGCAGGGGGCGAGTCAATACAGAAAAGAGCGGAAGGAAGAACGAGAAAGAAAGAGAAAAGAGGAAGAGGGAAAAGAAGAAAAAAAAAGAAATAAGAAAATGGAGAAGGAAGGGAAAAAAAATAGAAAACACTAAAAAATGCCAACAAGGACATCTAGGGGTGGGTTCGGTTCTTGCGGTTCGGTTTTGACCTAAAACCAAATATAGAATCAAAGTAAAAAGTTCGGTTCGGTTTCGGTTCGGTTTTACACTCCAAAACTTGGAACCATGGTTTGATTGATTCGGTTTGTTTCGGTTCGGTTTCGGTTTTTTCGGTTTTTTACCAAAAAAATTCTCACTTGATTTAAAATTGATATAATACTTAGAGGGATCAAACATATTACATAAAGAATGCGAGAAAGATAAAACTGAGAAGCAATAAATATGTCTTGAATTATATGAGTATGCGAGATAGATAAAACTATATAAATTATTGATTTAATTTGTTTGTGACTAGTTCGAAAAAAGTTTATGAATATAATATACACGTTCTATGTGATATAGTTGAGATGAATGTTTATTGTTTTATCAATATAAAATCTTTAAGTTATCTAAAAATTAAAGTTAATTACTACTAATAACTAGTAAATACATATTATCATCATTCAATATAGTTACATTATTACGGACAATGAATGTGTAAATGAATTTATAAACTAAATTAAAGCAAAACATAATACAAACATTATTTCTCTAACACAAGAACCAAAGACTATTGATGATATTAAGATTAATGAGAATTAATGCTTAACAATTAACATATAAATTTCATATTTTAAATAGTTCGGTTTGTTCGGTTCGGTTTTAAAGGGTAAAAACCAAAACCGAACCATAGAACTTCGGTTCGGTTCGGTTTTTTACATTCGGTTTCGGTTTGTTAGCGGTTCGGTTTTATTTGGTTGTGGTTCGATTTAATTTCATTCGGTTTTCGATTTTCCGGACCCAGCCCTAAGGACATCCACGTAGGCGTTAACCGGGCAACCGGTTTATTACCTATGAAAAAGCTTATTTGATTGTTTTTGATACTTGGTGAACTTAATTGAGTCACAAAAAAGTACATGGACTCAATTGGCTTTTTGTGAAAAGTAAGTAAACTTATTTGACAGTTTTCCCATATCTATATTTGACAAGCATGGTTAGTGGGCACATTGGCGTTGTGCATATATATATTTTGGCATTTGATTATTCAATTTTAAAAAGATGAGAATAAGTTTCATCATCAACTTGATAGGTGAAATAGTCGTGAATATTAATATAATGAATTTTAATATAGTGTTTTATTGTTTTGTAACAATCTGGTGTGGAACAAATATTTCAACACGCTCCCTCTGCCCATTGTGGGTTGGACAATATCGAGGTGGATAAACAACCTAAACCGACCCTTAACGAGCTGCTTTAATACTACATTAAGACTCTAATTTTAATCCTAAAATGTCAACTTGATAGGAGGAATAGTTCATGATTTTATCTTTATACTTTATTCACATACTCAACAATAATAGTCCTCTAGG